GCGCTAGGAGCGAGGCGACGATCCCCGCACCGTCGTTCAGCTCATGTAGTGCATATCGGTTAGAACAATCGTTGTGCTTGTTGCGTGGCGTCTGGATATTCAGCTCTCTTCATGGCGATGTAGTCAGCCTGAATCGCAGTCAGCCAACGCCGAGATGCTTGGTTCCGGTATCGGCGATATGGTGTCAGGACATCGACCACGCCGTCAACAATCTCCACAGCAGGCCTATGCAAAGTAAGAGGCCTTGCGACAATATCCATCCTCATAGATCCCCGCGGCGAGTTTCAGATCAACCACGGCCCGTGGCGCATCGGGAAAGCCGCGTTAATCCGCGCTCAAAATACTCCATGTGGATTGTTTGTTACACTAGATCCGGCGACAGCACAGCTGCGGCGCGGATAAAATGGCAAACCGCATCAAGCGCCATGAAACCTGAGATCGGGGCATTCTAGATGTGGCCCAGTGGAGTCCCACAAGGCCAGAAGACGCGTAATTGCTTTTGAGATGCTGCGAGGCGAGGTATCGTGGTGGCATGGTCTAGGGCTGGAGGGCGATTGGTGTAGCCACGTCGTTCTTGTGTGACTCTTAAGATTAGTCGTCGAGATGGTGGTGTTCGAGGTAGGAAGAACAAACAAGAAGGCTAGATGTCTTTGATTAGTTTATCGAATCGCGATGCCGCGAGTGCTTCCCCGTGAGCGTAGACTACCCCAGCAGAAGGAACGTGCCAATTAGTATACTCGTAGCGTTCATGCAAGATCGTATGTATAGCAAGCGATGTGTTTGTTCCCCGGAGGTGGTGTGTAGAAAGCCGTTTGTTGGTGAATGTTGGGCAAGGGGCTCCTTGCGATATATTTGCAACCCCATGCAGTTAATCCCCAATGCCCTGGCTGCCGGGTTGGCTCCTGCATGTGAGGAGAAGCGACCCAACGATGACACGGGTGTCACCAACGTCAATATGGATGGTCGTGTTGCGCAATGGAGGACGAAGGCAGACGACATATGCAGGCGAAACAGCGCTGCAGGCAGTGGAAGGCTGACGGCATTCCAAGGACTCCACTTGGTGCTATCAGAACTTCATTAACGCGACTAGGCGAGTCTCCGTCAACCGTCGCATGGACTAGCTCCACCTTTATTTCCAACACGAGCGACCCATTCCGAAGATTGACAAGATTCCATTTGCAATCGACGAGGTGCGCCCGTGGTGTGCGTCTCGTCAGCTACGATAACAGAGATTCGGTCCTAGATACCCGTGGACAAGAGGCGACTTCCACAGGTCGTGGCTGCGGGCGCCGGCCGGCGACCTCCGAATAGCGCGTCCGCCCTGATACGCCAGGGCTGGCGTGGCTTCGAGGGGGAAAAGCATGTGTATGCGCCAAGATGAGGTGTCGCGAAAGGCGAGCTGCCGTGCCCGGGACTTCACTCTACGTTCCCCAGGCTTAGGCTGAGGGAAGCGGCCGGTCACCTTCACGCGCAGCACGCCGAGACAGCCTAGCTTGCCGCGAAGTGGAATCGCATGGGCCGCGCGACTAGTCCAACTAAAGCAGGGCTTGATCGGCCTGATATGGGTCATTGGTTCTTCGCGGGAGGTCGAACGCGACAGGGTTGGTCGTCGCCGCTGGTCCTTATCTTTTTGGTGCGGGATACACTTTCATTCACATCCGCCGTCCAGGCCCTGTGCTACGAACGCACCCTGACTTAAAAGACTCGCTTCGCCTTCACTGGTAAATCGAGCAGAGCTTGACGTCGATCCTCTCGCCGGTCTACTCCGCATCAACTGTACCTCTTCATCGCACACAACTCAACTCAATTTTGCGATTATCAACCGCGGTGCCGTCGAGAAAAAATTCTGCCACAATGTCGGGCTTTGTTCACAAGGTCAATGGCGCGGTCGCGCGCTCCGCCGTCGGACGGTACTTTCGCCTCGAGGGATCAGGGCATGTATGTATATCGCATGTCGATAGTCGGTACATGCACTAACAGCCCTATAGCCCAAAGAGCGCAAGGGGAGCTACTTCTTCACTGAGTTCCGCGCGGGACTAGCCACCTTCTTCGCCATGGCTTATATCATCTCTGTTAACTGTATGTCCATTGCGGGATGTCGTTGACAGAACCGCATCTGATGACCATGTGTAGCATCCATCGTGTCAGACACTGGTGGTACTTGCGTGTGCCCAGGCCTCCCGGACGACCCCATTTGCGAGACCAACCCACAGTACGCCCTCTGTGTCCAGGAAGTCAGACGTGATCTGGTTACCGCGACGGCTGCCATCTCCGCTTTGACTACTTTCTGCATGGGCTTGTTCGCCAATCTGCCCATTGCCCTGGCTCCGGGTATGGGGCTGAACGCCTACTTTGCGTACACCGTAGTTGGTTTCCATGGTACAGGTATGTCGCACCAATGCGCCATTCCCCGTTCCCGTTTATGTATCCCCGTTATGCGGTTCCCTAATTGGGTCTGCTTACCGGCGCCACGGGTCGTACCAGTTGATCTTCATGGAACGTTGCTAATTGCTTTTTAGGCATGGTCCCCTATGAGGTCGCTCTTACTGCCGTATTCGTCGAGGGTTTTGTCTTTGTTGGTCTTACTATGCTGGGTATCCGACAATGGCTTGCACGAGCTATTCCTGCTAGTATCAAGCTCGCCACCGGTGTCGGTATCGGACTATACCTGACTATTATTGGTCTCGCCTACTCCGCTGGTATCGGTCTCATCACCGGTGCTCAATCGACCCCTCTCGAACTCGCCGGTTGCGTTGCCGCAGACCAGGTTGATGGCGTCTGCCCAGGAAGTGTCAAGATGAGGAGCCCAACCATGTGGATCGGTATCTTCTGTGGCGGTGTCTTGACCGTCATGCTTATGCTGTACCGCGTCAAGGGTGCCATCATCATCGGCATTCTCCTCGTTTCCATCATCTCGTGGCCTCGCCCAACAAGCGTCACCTACTTCCCGTACACCGAGACTGGCAACTCCGCTTTCGATTTCTTCAAGCAGGTCGTTACTTTCCACCCGATTGGCAAGATTCTTGCTGTTCAGCAGTGGAACATCTCGGAGCACGCTGGTCAATGGGGTCTAGCTTTCATTACCTTCCTCTACGTCGATATTCTGGACTGTAAGTTGCGCGTTAGACACTTTTTGAGCAATATGCTGACATAGCTAGGCACTGGTACCCTCTACTCCATGGCTCGTTTCTGCGGTGTTATCGACGAGCGCACCCAGGACTTCGAAAACTCCTCCATCGCCTACTCCGTCGACGCTCTCGGTATCAGTATCGGATCGCTTATGGGATGCCCTCCAGTCACCGCCTACATCGAATCCGGTGCCGGTATCTCTGAAGGAGGCAAAACCGGTCTTACCGCCATGTTCTCTGGTATCTGCTTCTTCATCGCCATCTTCTTCGCTCCGATCTTCGCATCCATTCCTCCCTGGGCTACCGGCTGTACCCTGGTCATTGTCGGTTCACTCATGGCAACCTCGGCCAAGGACATCAACTGGCGCTACCTCGGCGATTCCATCCCCGCTTTCCTCACCATCGCAGTGATGCCCTTCACATACTCCATCGCCTACGGTCTGATCGCCGGTATCTGCTCGTACATTCTCATCAACGGTACCGTCTGGCTCGTCGAGCTGGCTTCTGGTGGTCGCATTGTACCTCCCAACAAGGACGAGAAAGAGCACTGGACCTGGCGTCTCGAGGGCGGCCTCCTTCCCCCGTGGGTTAAGAGGCTCGCCAGCGGAAAGAAGGACTTCTGGAGATCTGACCCGGAGACTATGGGTGTCTCAGAGCCGCATAGCGGAGGCAGCTCGGCTCACGATGACAAGGAGTTCGTCACCGATAAGCGTGCGTCGTAGACTGTGTCTGCTTTGATATTGAGATTGTATATGGGAGTTTGATAGTCATTTTGCGACCTTTTTGTATACATGGCGTTATTACGTCGAGGCGCCTTAATGCGCGCCGACGCGGGTAGTTTTCTTCGATTATACCCTCACTTGTATCTGATATAGATCGGATTGGTTACAATGGTACACAAGACGTAACATCTCCATTTTTGTGATATTTGCATGTGATTACAATTGTCTCATTAGAACGGGAGAGAACGCCATGTTCCAAAGCCACATCGGCGCACGACGTCTGACATTCAGCCCATCTCGTACAAGGATATCCAGACTTGTCAAATATCGATCTTGCAGCAGGCGCGACCTGAAGCCACATCGGCAGCGCCACATCCGAGTTACCGACCGAGGCAAGAACCTTGAGATGTCAATAACCGTTCAACTATCGCTCTTTGGAACTACGTAGATTACTACCCGACTGCGACCACAACGTCCATGATGCACAGTCAACATACGCTGCCTAGGCGTGCGCTGCGTGACACCGTGCTTCATACGTCGCATTTCAGACATGCTTATTGTACTTATCCCTGCCGCCCTTGTTTTCCCTGTCATCATCCTCATCTTCCGTGAAGACGTGCAACGCCAATCTGCCACTGCTCCTGCCCAATGGCTTGTTAGAGACATACGTATTGGCTGCACCACCGCCAAATGCTCTACAATTCTACTTTTGCAGACTGCGAGCGGGCTGGGCGTCGTCTTGCAGAGGCGCTGTAGGCTTGGTGGGCGATTTCACGACGATGCTGGGCGTTGGTTCTACGGTAGTTGCTTCGACGTCTTCTCTTCCATATCATTAAGAACAGACTGTCATATATGTAGACCGAGGACCTCATCTTGCGCGAGGAGTAACTTACGGCGCAGTTGCTAATACGGTTGCTGGATACTGCAGACGCGACCGAGATCCAGAACGAAATGTGCAGAAATTGAGTAAAGTGGTATGCCGGCGTAAAGTGAAACGGAGTGAAAATGTTCTGCCTCCTCGCGTAGCAAACAAGTTGGTTGTTGTCCTATACGCAATGCTTGGCATCCAAACTCTGGTGTCTACACTGCGTATTGTTGCGTTTGCTCTCCACTACACTTCTGCTGACGCAATACTGGAATTCCCACAAATATGGGTACAATTCAGACGAACATATCTGATCCATACGCAGCAGCGAGACTGTTCCGGAAGAGATTCGAGGACGCAGAAGCGCTCTTCGACAGCGGCGATATAGCTGGCTGCATATTGGCAGCTCAGCGTAACATAACGTAAGTGGCAGTAACAAAGCATCCGCCAAAATTGGTATTGCGACTGACTACTTCCAGCGACACAACTCTTCCGCCGTACTACATTATAAGAAACTGTATACTTCTCACGAGCGCTATGGATAACTGGGACGATGGCAATGACTGGAGGCTTGCTGCGGTAAGATCTCCAATGTACAGACTGGATTTAAGACATACGCTGACTTCGACCGTGGCAATTCAGGAGAGTACCTTCAGTAATGTGTCACGACGAGCCAGGGAGATTAACGATACAAACTCGCTCGCCGCCTTACAAGATCTCCGTGAGGAGCTTGACTGGTTGGCTAGGCAACGAGACGAATATCTCCAGGAATACAAGGCATGGATGCTTGAACAAGAGGGAGAGGACGATGACGGCGAGACGGACTCAGAAGCAGATGGAGTTGAGCTAGACGACAGCGAGAATGAGGCGGAGATGGAAGCCGAGGGCATTAAGTCAGGCGAGGGCAACGCGCGTGTGGATGTTGGGGACACTCGACTTCTTCCGATCCGCGGACACCAAGCTCCCACGGCAAGCCTCGTAGTTAATCGAGAGGACGAGCGTTCTTCCAGCATTCTTGCAGCGACCGCCTTCCTTTTCGAATGCCAGTCGTACATACCGGAGCATATGCAAGGTCAGTATACGCAGGCGGTCCTGGAACTTCAGGAAGCCGCCATGGGCAGCATCAACAGCATGTCTTCCACAGCTTCCGCAGCTTAATGGTTTCAGGTATGCATTGCGCGAAAGGGATGTCCTGGATTCGGAGGCCTCATCGGAGGCGTATATGATAAACTTCCTTTGTAAAAGATCGAAAATGACAGGTGCATGTACTATGCAGAACGTAAAGTGTTTCCATGGTCAAGCCACTCATCGGAGGCGGCCCGGGGCAAGCCCGATGGCCGATGAGTGGCTTGAGCTCCGAGGTCCCCGGCCCCCTCCTTCCAGGAATCTCGTGATACACATCCAACTCGGTTCCGCATACAACACTACCGTCGACTCCGCTCGTATTACTTCAATTAACTCTCGCATTGTCTCGCAGTATACATTTGGACGTACAGCATACATAAGACGCACCATTCTACAGCTTAGCATACCTCGAGGTTCCAGGCGCGGACATCCGGTGGCTTACGAGATCTTTTTCTAAGCAAAGTGGTAGCGAGCTCTACGCTTTGCAAGCACGCGGAACGGTCAAGGTCCATACATCTTCCCTCGACACGACTACTATAAGAGAAAGCGATACCGGGCGAAAGTAATTGGACCAGAGTCATACCCCAAACATGCCTGCAGAACTCCAGAACGGGCTGCCTGCCCACGGCACAAATGGCGTCAACGGCAACGCGACGGAGCTCTCAAATCCCACACCCGCACACCCAGCGTTCGACTCGATACCGGATGTCATACAAGCCTTCGGTACGTGTCTGCGAGCACCACAAATTCCAGCAGCAACCCTACCCCTCACCCCACTCCACCCTTACTAACGCGCCTTCCAGCGGACGACGAATTCGTAATCGTCCTCGACTCACCCTCGCGCGAAAACGAAGGCGACCTGATAATCGCAGCCGAAGCCCTCACCCCCTCAAAAGCCTCCTTCATGATCCGCTACTCAAGCGGCTACATCTGCGCACCCCTCCCCGTCTCCCGCGCCGCAGCCCTGCACCTCCCGCAAATGGTCGCCGACAACGCCGACCCCAACCGCACCGCCTACGCCGTCAGCATCGACTCATCCGACGCGTCCGTCACAACGGGCATCTCAGCGACCGACCGCAGCTTAACATGCCGCATGCTCGCCGACCCCAGTGCCAAAGCCAGCCATTTCAGGAGACCGGGCCATATATTGCCGTTGCAGGCGCGGGATGGTGGTGTGCGTGAAAGGAGGGGGCATACGGAGGCGGCGGTCGATCTGTGTCGGTTGGCGGGCAAGCAACCTGTTGGTGTTATTTGCGAGTTGATTACCGATGGCGACGAGGTGCCTGGTAAGCCCGAGTTGATTGGTGGGGGCATGATGAGGAGGGATGACTGCTTGGCTTTTGGCAAGAAGTGGGGGATCAAGGTGTGTACCATCGATGATATGGTGAGGTATATTGAGGAGAATGATGGGGTCTTGGGCACGTCCTCATAGTTTGAGGCGGGCAAGGGACCGGGTAAAGGTGCCATCATGAGAGGGAGGACATTTGTGAGATGATCCCCTTGGTATGTTGTACGTGGACGGTGTCGGCGCACTTTGAGGATACACGCGCTTTAGTCATGGCATGGAAGAAAACCTGATATTGTACTATTAGATACTCCAATCCAGCGCAAGCTTCTCTATCCAAAAGCCAGGAAAACCGTACACATGTCATTCTATACACTCCGACGAAAACGAGCTCCGCCTACGCTTATACCATGGAAAGCAAACACAACGTTCCCGCCCATCGCGAACAGCACAGTACGCGCCGAGGCCAGGCAAGCAAACCACCTCCCAGCCATACACTCCAGACGATAATAACGCCCTCATCCACTCCCCCCAAAGAACTCCTCCAGCTTCCCCACCACCTCCTGCATAACCTCTTCCCTAACCGCAAAATTCACCCTCGCCCAACCCCCATCCTTCTCCACCCCATTGAACGCCCGCCCAGGCGCAACCTTGATCCCACCTCTTCCTTCCAACTCCCTCCAGAAAGCGTTCTCCTCCTCGCTTGTCCTAGTCTTCTTTGCTAGTTTAGCAGCGAGGAAGGGGCCGTGTGTCGGTACCACGATTTCGATGTCGTGGCGTCGGAGGAAGGAAGCGAGCATGTTGTAGGAAGTTGACATGCGGGATGTGTTTAGAGTGAGGAGGGAGGGGAGGAGGGATGATGTAAGCAGGGAGGTTAGATAGATGGTCGAGAGGGAGGAGGGGTGTGTAGCCGTCAGTGCCAGGGAGGAGAGGAGAGGGGTGTTCTGTTGGGATACCACACAGCCCTACAGATACTTGTGTCAGCTCCTGACCATTCCAGCCCGTGCAGTTTTGAGGGGACAAGAAGAGCGACTTACGATCTTCAGTCCACCTAATCCGAATAACCGACTTGCATCCCACACCACATGTACACGACTCGGATCGACCTTGACGGCTCCCTCCGGTACAAGCGGCTCGGTTAACGACAACGCGCTCACGAACGTCTCGCCCTTTCTTTTCTTCTTAGCTCCTCCGCTCCCTTCCTTCCCATCTAATGCCATCAGCCCAGCCCCCTCATCAACAATCAAATGCAACCCCCTCTCCTGACAGAACTCCAGTAACTCACGTAGCGTTTCTCGGGGGTAGCATCGGGAGAGGGGGTTGTTAGGGTTAGACAACAAAACAGCTTTAATCCGCGTTCTGTAGTCGGAGAAGTCGTAGGCGGCTTGCAGGGAGGGGACGAGGTAGTTGTCCCAGTGGATGTGGGTTGGTGGGATGACGGGGATGGGTGTTACGTTTGCTTTTCGCTTCAGTAAGAGCGAGAGGGTGGCTGTGGTTGTATCAGTCAAAGAGGGCAATTCTGTAAGTAAGAGATGGACGAAGTTATGGATACGACCGGGGCTAAATGTGGAAGGAATGCTTACGACAACTCGGACCAGGAACAAGCACACTATCCCCATCGTCGCATACAGCATGAATAACGTTCTCAATCGCATCCGTAGTCCCAGCTGTAAGAACGATATGTTCAGCCCTCACAGCATGAACAGGCATGAAATGCGAGTTGAAAAAGCCCGCAAGACCATTCCTCAGCCCTAAATCGCCGCCGTTAAGAGATTCCGTGGGGGACGTAAATGCCTATCGTAGATTCATACCGAATTAGTACATGCGCAAAACTATACTTGTATAAAACGCATCCCGACGATCTCCAAAACCGGAGCGAACATACCTCAACCGCCCCCACATCCCTCACAACATCCCCCAGAAACTTTTGCAACTCGGGATACAACACCTCGTTACCCCCACAACTGAGATCAATCGTATTGCCAAAAGGATCAAACGTCTCTGGTGCGGTATCCGAAAGCGCAGGCGCAAGCCCGTCGAGCGCGTTCCGCGCCCGTCGCGACAGTCCCGGGTCCATCATGGCTGAGACGGAGAGGTGGCGCGTGCTGCGCATTCAGTATGCAGGATGTAGTATGGCGATGCGTGATGTATTATGTCCAAGATCGAATTGAGGTGGCTACTGTGGGGAAAGCGATCCTGCAGCACGTCGCAGCTCGCTGTCGCAGATAAAAAACGTTGCGATCTCATTGTCCGGGGTGTGCTGCCAAGGGTGGTCGCTGCGGTCTGCGGCACAGTTATTTGTGAGGACCCAGTGGACTGGTAACCTGGGGCTGACGCGACGCGTTCTGTTGGTTGGGCAGGCGGCCGGCGAGGGACGGGTCATAGCTTCGATACGGTGAGGAAGAGAGGACAGAGTGAAGATTATAACATCTATTAATTGGATTCGCGATAATGAACACAAGCGTGTGGGGAATCTCTGAAGAAGGGAAGGAAGGGAAAAACGACGTCCTCCCCTCTGCACCAAGACCATGCAAGTCATAGAGCCTGCACGCGTGCTTTTCTCCCCTGGTCTATCCTAAGCCTCATGCCCTGCCCTGCCCATCACTATTACACAAATGCATGTCCCAAACCAGACCAACGCCGTTGAAGATGCTCACGGATAAATGCATGCAGAGCGCATGCAGGGTCTGAGATAAGCGAAGAGCTACGAAGCCCTATGAGCGCCCTCGAGAAAATCTGTGTGGGCCCGTCTTGATTTTGGGTGAAGCGCGGCAATTCGTTCGTGCAAGCGCAAAGATGACTGCTCGTCGAGAAAATGAGGTCGAATCGGCAAGTCGCTATTCTATTGCTGTGGCCGTCCGATGCCTTGCTTAGCCTGAGGAATTGTAAGCTTCGTCGTTAAATGTAAAACAAAGACGGCGGTCTTCTTCAAAGTGGGAGGTGTCGGAACTGACCTTCATCATCTCAATCCTCTGCTTGAGATTTTGGGTAACCTCTGCTGCACGCTTCCAGCTTTCCGCACCAGATGCTCCTGCGGAAGGTACCCGTTGAGCTGTTCCGTTCTCTGTTGGGCTCCTGCCATCACGCGACATCGACGACAGACCATCTGCTCGTGGACTTAGTTTTCCGCTCAAGTTACTGCCAGGGCGAGATAGAGAATCAAAGTTCTCCTTACCATCGCCGCCCGGGCTTCCTGGCCCACTGGCAAAACTCCTCTCTCGCCTTGGGTGCATGGCCCGACTGCCATAGCCAGAGTCACCGAAATGCGCGCCGTTGGTGTTACCAACTCCGTTGTCAGTGTATATCTGATCTCCGACGTCTGTAGCTGGCGGAGAATTTGAACGCGCCTGCCTAAGGAGTTCGCGCTTCAATCTATCAATCTCGCGGCGCTGGTTCTGTACTGTCTGCTCGGATGCTTCAAAGTCTGAGCGCGCACGGACGAGCTGCGTCTCCTTTGCCTTTATCGAGAGCACGTCGCGGGTGTGATCTTCGATGAGCTGAGCGTTCTGGTTCTGGAGCTCATGGATCTGCGAAGTGAGGTTCGTCCTTTCTCCACGCAAATCTTCATTCTGTCGCCGTACTCGTTCAACCTCTGCTCGTAGCTCATCAAGTTCCGCACGTTCCACCAGGCTGAGGCCGGTTGGCGCTTGTGGTGCTGGGGCGGCGACGGGTTCAGCAGCAGGCCTTCCTAGGGGACGACCTGCGAGACCACGTCCGGCACCAAACTTGGGCTGTGGCGGCGGTGCTTCTTCTTCGGGAGGAGGTGAGACAACAGATTTCCGTGGCGAAGGAGCCCCGAGACCTGGTTTCTTCAATCCACCGAGCCTTGATGGCGCAGCAAGACCGGGCTTGGCACCCAATTTGGACGCGGCGGGTCTTGAAGTCGGCTTCGGCTCGAGAGGTGCGGCGGGCTCTTCCACAGGCGGGGGCGGGGGTGCTTTTGCTGCAGGAGCCGGCTTCTTTGCGCCACCCGGTGCTGGCCGCTTACCCATAGGCTTCTTAGTTGGTGCTGCGGCTGCAGGCTTGGGTGCTGGCGCAGCCTTTGGCTTGTATTTGGACTTGACTTCCGCAGCATCGAAGAACTCCTTGATCTTGGTCTTGCGGATCTCGTCAAGTCCGTCCAGATGAGCGTTCATGATGCGGTCTCCCATAATTTTCCACAGCGTACCCAGCACTTCGGCACCAGCAGCTCGCTGTACCTCTTGAGATTCAGTAAGTAGTTTCGTAGAACTCTCTGCGATGGCCTTGGCTTGTTCCGGTGTTGGGGCTTCGCGAGTGTTCTTCAAGCATCGAACCAGGAATCGCGACGATTCAAGTTTGACCTGAGGATTCTTGTGCTTTAGAAACTCCAGAATCTCCTCCAAGCACTCTTGGAAGCTCGTGCACGCAAACGAGGCGTCCAAAGCAGCTCCAATGGCGTCAGTCACAGTCTGTTTCTTCTCCTTCAGGCGCTCCATCATTGCGTTCATGACGTCTTTGCGGTACTTGGCGAAGCTCTTCTTTAAGCCCTTGGCTAAAAGCTCGACACAGTTCGCAGCAGTTACAACACAGGCGATATTCGCATCCTTCAGGCAGGTCTTCGCAAAGCCGCGTACTAGCTCATCGAAAGGTCCTTCGGCGATCCTTGGGTGATCAAGAGCTTTTTGCGTGTCGTCGAGCGCTTCTTTTCGGTCTTTCCATTTTGACGAGGCCAACTTCTCCGAAAAGTCCTTGGGGATCTTTGCGAATACATCAACGGCTTCGTACTCGGGCTCAAGATCGATGGCGGCCTCCTCTTCCTCTTCCTCCTCTTCGACGTCTGGCGCAGCGGCAGCGGCTTCCTTGGCAGCCTGCTGTGAACGGAGCAGTCGCTCCTGTTTTGGCGAGGGCTCTTCCTTGACCTTTTCAAATAGCTTGTCGAGATCTTGCTGTTGGACAGGCTTCAGATCGTTCCAGAAGAGCGGCTTCATGGCCTCTTTTAGCCATCGGTAAAGTTCGACTGTCAACTCCTGCGCCTTGGCGCGAACGTTCTTGTCCGCATGGCCGTAACATTTTGGAAGCGCCTTGAGGACGGGCTTGGGCTCGATGGTTTTGCAGCCGTAGGCATGGTAAATCTGTGTAAGGGCGTCTAAAGTCGCGGCGATGACTTTGGGTTGCTTGTTTCCTAGTACTGGTAGAAGCTCTTCGATTACGGGGTCGGGCTTGTCGGTCTCGATGTATAGCATGAGCGCTTCGAGCGCCTTCGCCTTCGCTGCCGGTCGCGTTGAGGGTAGGCCCTTCTCGGCGATGGTTGTGATGGTGTTTCCGCGTGACCTAAACAATGCGTTAGTATTGCGCCGCGCAAAGTTTTGCAAAGTACTTACCGTACGCAGCCCTCCCTTCCTGCTATCTCGAGGAAGGCGCACAGTGCGCCGAGACCTTCTTGTTGTGCCGCGACGTTGGAGTCGCCCGCAACACCTTTCCATACGCTCGCATCGTTTATGAACTGGCGCACAATGGGGTCTGATTCACTGGCGGCGAGACTGAACTCTTTGGCGGCGGCCTCGTATGCTTCTTTCCGCACCTTCCAGACCTTGTGTACGAAGCGATCCGGAAGCGGCAGAGAACTGAAATCTTCCTCCGCGGCGTCGGCCATGGCCTGTTATGGAATGTGATGGATGTAATGCGGGGTCGTCTAAGAAACCAGAAAAGCTAATGAAGAGTAAGTCGCGGAGTTCGGGAAGGTTGGAATGCCTTATAGCAAGTGGCGCAACAGTCCAAACACTGTGTGGACAACAGTGATATGCGCGCGGATGGGCGCGCGTGCAGTGGACCATGACTGATGCAGGAGGCAGGAGCGGCGGAGACGTACCAGATGATGTCAGTAGACAATGTTGTCGATTGCTTTTTGTGAGACTATTGGATCGCAAAGTGTCGGATAGCGATAACAGCGGAGTGTGAGGGGTCGAGTATGGTGTGAGGTGATGATGTAGAAAGTGCAAGTATGTTTTGGCGGGCGCTCCAGGGCTCGTTGTCCGGGCGAACAGCAGTGTTCCTTCCTAAACAGATCCCTGCACCACATGAATGCCCAACCCACCTACATCGTCCAGCACACACGTCACCTCCAACACACGCCCGCATTATTGCTTCGAGACAATCGCTATCCTCCCGCCGTCGCCATTCCGCTACCTCTAATTTGCGCCCCCAAGATACCCCACCCCTGCAGACATCCTCCGCTCACCGCAATTCCCCGCGCCCACCAAAAACCTCCGCCTCGACCGCACACGACTACGCACCACGTCGCGATAGTGCATGGTCCCGTCTGGCGTCAATCGCGTATGACCTAGCCATTACGCCATGAGCGCGATATTGACAGACCGGCAAGCGGAAGAGCTGTGAGCATTGCAGACAGCAAGTGACTCGAGAGCCATGACTGACGACGAGCCAGGCACAAGGCCATAATCGCATATCTGGGCGTTATAAACGCGCCAAAGACTGCGGAAGCGTTCCGGGAAGAAGCCAACATAGCCGAGAGTTTCGACGATGCCACGCGGAAAAAGTACGAGGGGCTGCTGGAGAAGAAATGGACCAGTGTAGTGCGGCTGCAGAAGAAGGTACTTGCGCGTCAATACCTACAGTGAAATCATACGCTTACGGTCTT